AAGAAAATGTTTCTCAGTTTCTATATGTCCACATTTACATGCCTCACAGAGTCTTTGTTCAACAGCAAGGCCTTTATATCGACCAGTTTCTATGTTCAGGTGAAGAGTACCTGACCGAGTTCTAGCAATAACAGATCTTTGATTCCTTGATAAAAATAATTTTATATAATCCTCTGTACCAAAATTGTCTTTAAATAACTTATATGTACGTAGCTTTGGCATTGTAGTTATTTGAGCTGTCCATTTATGTATGAAGCGATTCATTTCAGAATCTTTTACAGTTTTTAATGTTGACCTTGCACTTGAATTATTAAAGAAACGTTCATTATAGAGGTCTAACAGGTTAGAATTTTTAAATATATCTTTGACCTCTTTACACCATCCTCTATGGCCTTTTTCAGCATTGGCATAGTCAAAGTCAAATATTCTTCGAGTAATCCTTGTTCTTGGCATTCTACTAAGTCGGATGAATAAACGAACCATTTCAACATGGTGCCTAACACATGGTGGTATCCAGCCTATATCTCCATACATAGCTGGAATGGGAGCATATTTCCCTAAGCCCATAAATGTTATATCTGGTAAGATTTCAATGGGAATTCCAGGAAATTGTGATATTACTATTTTTCCAAATTTTCTTTTAACGTTTTCAGACAACACTAGAGCTACCATTGACCTGTTTCTAAGTTTTCTGAAAGTAGACAATGTAACGATACTTTCCTGAAAAAAACAATTAAAACTGGTCCTCCGTACTTAAATCTTAAAAGAACACAACCGCCATATAAATTTGCATTGGCTCTTATGTGCCGCTATGTCGCTATTTATTGGCGTATAATAATATCGTACATACAAACTCCACATACACAATGACCCTTTGGGCAGCACCCCGGAGGTGTCCCGGACTTATGATCGGAACATAATCCTGGCATTAAAAGCCATATATCATTAATATTCTATTATCAACTTCTAAATCCCCCAGATATTAACTTTTTATATTAAATATTGTGCAGATGCCCCGGAGGCAAAATTCAATAATAGTCCAATGATCTGATCTTAATCCTGGTATTTAAAGCCATATTATAATATTATATTTTCCAACTTCTAAAATGGATTATTCCTCAGAGGTAAACTTTTAATATAAAACAATCCTTATCTAAAGATGCCCCTGAGTCAAAATTCAATAATAGTCCAATGACTTAATCTTAATCCTGGCATATAAAGCCATATTATTAATATTATATTTTCCAAATTCTAAAGTGAATTATTCCTCAGAGGTAAACTTTTAATATAAAACAATCCTTGTCTACAGATGCCCCGGAGGCAAAATTCAACAATAGTCAAATGATCTGATCTTAATCCTGGCATATGAATCCACATTTTGTTAATATTATATTATCAACTTCTAAAGAACACATCCCTCGGAGGTAAACTTTTGATATCAAATATTTCTTATGCACAGATGCCCGGTTGGCAAAATTCAATAATAGTTCAATTGATCTGATCATAATCCTGGCATATAAAACCATTTTGTTAATATCATATTTTCAACTTCTAAAGTAGATTATTCCTCAGAGGTAAACTTTTAATATTAAACAATCCTTATCTACATATGCCCCGGAGGCAAAATTCAATAATAGTCCAATGATCTGATTGTAATCCTGGCATATATAGCCATATATTATGATTATTCTATTAACTTCTAAAGTACATACTCTCCAGAGGTAAACTTATAATACCAAATATTCCTTATCTACAGATGCTCCCGAGGCAAAACTCCACAATAGTCCAATATTGATTCTTGCGACTTAATTCTTTTGACAAATTTCGAAATGAAATCACTATCTAGCCTTGGAGGCAAATATCTCAAATATTATAATGTATAGATAATCCTTTATAGCTCCACAAACGTCTCAGAGACGAGTCTCGTCTAAAATTATAAATAAACAAATATATGGTCACTCCTTGCCCAAACATTAAACTCGTACCATATGCCTCGGAGGCAAAGCTTTTTATCCAGCTTTTTATCTCAGTTATGAATTCTTGCAAATAATTTACATTTTACATTCATGTGGTTTCGGAAACCTTCCTTACATACTCTGTATACAGTTTCTTAGTATTATATTGACAGAACTTATGCCATGTAGGCTAAACATTTGAATTCTTTAATGCCAACCTCGCGGCGACCCCTTTTGCAAAGTGCCAAAGGTACCTTGTATATATATATTTTTTTTTTTATATATACAAGGAGGTCCACCTACCCCTAAGATGAAATTGGCGTTTGTAGGATTTAAGAATTCGAAACACACAATTTACTTAAAACAAAAACTATTTCTAACTTAATAACATTAATATCAAAGTAAAATATATTTGACAAGATATTTTAAAACAGTTAACCTTAGAGTCATTTGGTAAATTTAGCAAATGCTGCCATGTTAGCGTCACAAAGCCGAATGATTTGTTAATTTCAAAACCTATTTCCTCAACATAAATCACTCACAACTCATTCAATCAATACCACCGTTTATCGTCACTTAAATAGAACAGAACATTCTCAAATATACACCCCCGTAACAAACTATAGAACACCTTCTCCAAATCTGATATCAAAACAGTGTGAAGTACCCGTATTAAATAATTTTCAAACTTATTCGCTACGCTCAATCGTTAGAAAATATCATGAATATGATAAGCACAAATGTCAAAGGGAAGGGTGACTAAAGAAACCCAACAAGAAAGCAATTGCAAACTGTAAGTGTAAATCTGTCATAAGAAAAGTAGACCCTATATATTCCAAAACCATGATCTATCGTGAAAAGAAACAATGTCTAACATCCCCCTCCCCCTCCAACCGAGAACCAATATCACAATCCAGAACCAGAACACCAAGGGACATTTCATTCATACTGAAGTCATTACAATACATGTTGAAGAAAAATTGATAGCCAATACTCATAACATCAAAAATAGTTGTAGATATTAGTACTCATAAAAGATAAAAGAGTATTCAGTCCCAAATGATGTGGGATGGATAAAATTCAGTCTCGAAGTCCATAGGCAATTCAAAGGTTCAACATCCGTTCGCAAAGCCGTCATCATAATCCATAAAACACAACAATCCACAATGGTCATCAGGAGAAAACTATGGCTGGTTTCGATCCCTATTTCTCAACCATGAAATACACACATGCCTTCATAGTAATTTTGTACCAGAAAATAACATGTACTATAGCAATTTTTTCCCAAAATGTTATTTTCCAGCTGTACCTTAAATTCCATGTATCTTTTGACTGCTATAGTCGTCTCTAGTACATATATTTTTCTTTCAACTACTGCATATCTGGACTTACCTGCATGGTTAGTGCCTATAGTATTGCTTCAGTTCAAATCATAATTCATAATTCTTTAATCATATCCTGTAGATCAATACGTAGCTCTGAATCCAACAAGCTTCAATATACTACAGATTGTTTGTACAGTTTTATATATTGTATAGTTCACCTTTAAAAGATTTATGTTTTGAATATTGAGTCGATCAATATTTTTTGAGATTTTATAGCAAAACCACATGACATATTTATATACAATAGCTCAGAAGGCATCTAGTGAAATAAATATCAGGTTGGCCAAAATAAGGCTACCTTATGAATAATACAAATGTATAGAATAGCAATCATCAAATGCTATCGACCACGTGCATAGCAAAAAATTGATGCCCCAAATATGCATTGCCGTATGGCAGTAAACGAGAGTAGTAAATGCCCAAGATATAAAAATTCAATAATTTAGTAAGGAAATAGATAAATACTTGACTTGGTATTATTCCAATATAATCTTGCATAGCAACCACGTAGCAACGGAATATAAATTACATTAGTGAATTTGTAAAATGGTTGGTACATGCAGGGCACGATTGTTATCTGAAATGATTAACGTTTTTTATCATTATAATGCTGGTACCACAGTTAGCATAGCACTAAGCATTTGGCCGCCGCAACATGCAAAAGAATTATAAGGTATCCATCAAGTCGCTTTTCTCTTAATTCCTGAATATATAACACGATTCGTCAATTTGACTCCCCCTCCAGACATGAGTGTTAAAGTATTTATGTACGTTCAGCAGCTTAATATTCGATATTTTTGACTTCCTGATTGGAGTCAAATGTTATTCATGGTCTTTCAGTTTTGAACAAAGAGTACGTAAATGTATTTTAAATATTAGTTGAGGGTTAGACATTTTGTATTTATGGAAATTCAGAAAATTCAATGACCTATTTTTTTAAAAGAAGAAAAATGTAAGTAACTGAATCAATGAATTTCTCCTTTTTATATTTCTAATATATTCGCTAGATTTTCTCGTTAAAGTATATATCTATGTACTCTTTCCGCAAAAGTGTAGGATGTAGAACATGAAAAGGAATTTTATGTTATGATACGTACGCCAGGTCGTCCTACAAAACTCAATATGTATGTGCAGGTTTTAATTTTGTAAACTACAAGATGACGACAAAAGGGACAACGTGGGATAATGCCCCCTGGTGTTCCAAGGATGTAATAAGGGAATGTCCCATCTTGTCCCTTCATGTCCCATGAAAATATTTTACTTAATAACTTCCTTGATGTCCCATCATGTCCCATTGGCGTACGGCTAGCTTTAAGAGTAATGTACCACCTTACCTATTAATTCAGAATACAGAGCTTGTATAATATCTCATTGATTATACTGGTGTTGTTACAGGGTTCTGATATGTATCAATGCCATCGATACAAATCTAAAGGTTCTACCTGTATTTATTTTATTTATCTTGTATAAATTTTCAACGACTTATAAACTCTTGAAAACCTTAAAAGGTTTTATATAAGAGAGAACAACTTATTTATTCACGTAAATCATCACCAGTGTCATTTGATTTGATTTAGTTTTACATTTAAGCGTCAAGCAATTTGAGATTTTGGTAATCTAGAGTCACAATGCTAGCTGCTAGCGATTAACAATCTGCATTTTACGGACGCCCATCCGAAACTGGTTTCCCTCCTGCAATTAAAAACGAAACTTAGTACTATATATATGTCCAGGCTCCAGGTTTAGGAATACTAGGACGTTTTCCCGTAACGTAAAGCATTATCAAAAACGTCATTCCTGGTCAAAACATAAGAACATGAGATCAAATATTACCTAAGTCAAATTATTGAGGGAAAGAGAAATAAAAAATGCACAATGTATTATCTTTAAAACTCAAACACGTTGTCCTCCTCTATTCCAGAACTTATATTACCACCGTGGTCACAGATGGTTCCAAATACGAAGACGACATTATTTTTTGTATCAAGGCAGAATCAGATCAATCAATAGAGTGTGACACATTAACAAGCAACACGTACAATTGACATATACCACCAATCTATTCCCCCGGGTCTATTCCTTACGATGTCAAATACTATACATCTCCAAGAAGATCAGCAATATGTTACAAATTGGTCAAGTTCAAGGTTTCAAAATGTAAATCTGCGGGGAATATTTCAATCTTACCAAATAATAAAAATGGTAAAAATGAAAATTTTGAACTTAAAGAAAATAATGAAAAATATTTTTTTGTTCAGGTTGCTCGCTAGATCTGATTCTCTCTTTAAGGCTAGATTAAGTCAAAATTAAAAAACAAATTAAACGAATAACTCTTCAGTCAAACGCTCCTTTATAGATGATGAACGTGTTTTGTTGTTAAAACCAGTTTGCGTTTGGTGTGAGCCCCGTTTTCCAGAATACCATATTATGGGGTTGCTATGACAAAATCTACGTTTACCTTTATACTTCCAAATCAGGGACTCATTGAATGAGGACAGCACATCCGTTTTTGCATCGTATTTTCCAACACCCTCAATCAAGACACCATCAGCTGAAAGTAAAGGAACCAGCAGTGAATCGGAAATCAGTGACTTAGGGGACTAGCTGATTCAGCGAATTCAGGGAATTTGGAGAATATGTCTAATTAAGTCTAAATACAATCAATTTCTTCATTCAAACTTACCTTCCAGTGTACCGATGTAGCCGTAAAAGTTACGTAATCCAGTTTCATTGTATGTATAGTGGCCCTGTATGCCGTAAAGGAAAAAATGAAGAGTCATTATCACCGATATGATTAATTAATATATATTATCATTTAATATTAAGCATGGCTATGCATTTAAGTGATATTTGTTTTCAAAATAAAGCAAAGTATGAACCCTCGATCGTTTTAATTAAACGATAAAAAATTGATTTGAACATTAAATTGTCTATCAAAGGGTATATGTAAGTAAGCACTACTGGAATTAGGAACAAGGCCTTACAAGTGTGCTCATTTTTGTATAATACAGTCTTGTATGCCATGCGTATGCAAAACGTCAAATGATTGTTCCGAGAAATTAATTTTCAACAATACCGTGACTCCAACAAAGTCAACCGCCATGAGATTAGCAAATAGTTTCTCTATCCCTTCTTTGGTTTTGAGAAAAGTATTTGCTTCTCCAGGAACTACTCCTTCAGCGTCAAATGTTGCTCTCAGTGCAATGGCAAATGCCCATACTGCGTCATAAGCAGCGCCTTATTAACAAATAAAGAAAACATTTATTGCGTGATCATGACATTAAGCAAGTGCAGAATTGACAGTTTGAATGAAAGCTGTTTATATCTTGAACATTGAGAATTTTCCTTTTTTGCTGACAGTCTTGTTTCTATCTTGATATACAATTTAGATATCTATTTTGGTCCATAAAGTCTCTTTGTACTGTACTTGTAAAGAGAATTATAGACACCCTGTACAAAAATACACACATTTTAATAATACCTTGTAAATGAGTGGTATCGATATGGAGAAATGAATTCAACAACGTTTTTTCTAAAACCAAACATTGAAAACATTCTGTGAAACAACACGGTACGTATTTTATGTAATGTTGACTGATTGACAACAATTTTATGCGAAAATTATTTAGAAATATTTTATATAACTGTTTTTGTTAACATTTTTTGTGTTTGCTCCTTTCCACCAATTCTTGAGAATGAAATAAAATGTCTTTCCGAACCTTGTTGGAACAAAATAGCATATACAACATGTACCAAAATTTCCTTTGAACAATTACAATAAAACAAGTGTTTGATGTGTTTTCTAAAACAATATAGATGAAAGTATATATATATATTTCAAATTATATTGTTACCATTCAAAAGATGACCATTAAATTGACGATGTGTAAAATTTTTAGATTTTTTTATGACTGGTTTAAGAAAAACGTGTGTTCAAAAAGTTCTCCATATCGATACCACTCCTTTGAACAAAATGTGTCAAAGTGAGAGCCATTTTTGTGAGAAATTCTTTGACTGACATATCCAAAACGGGGCATTCAAGGATAGCTTTAAACGCATTATCAATTTGAATTGACATCTGTTTGTTGACCATATTGATGCAATCATATACTGCCTAAATGTATTTAAATACTACATTAAAATACTTTATTTGCCTCGCCTATTTTCATCCTGGCTATAAAGCCCCAAAAGTTATAATAAACGAGTAATTGTAAAGTTTCATCTTTTACTTCAAGACACACACTTTACATACCTGCAAATTCAATTGGCTTTTTACCAGGTGGTATTACTTCTCCAATATCAGATAATACATCGAGGTATGTCTGCAAATGGATGAGCACTGGATTAGCTGGATTATCACCATAGGGGTCGAAAGATGATGGAATGTCAACATTTTCAAAATAATCACTGACACGTGTTTTAACAATGGGTTAAAAAGGTCAGATCAAAAAGTATTGACATATAAAATAAAGGCCAATGCACGTTTCCTATTTCTAAAATAGACCCTACTATTCTATCATATACTATTTTCAAATATTAAGAAAATTGTAATATATAAAAAATAGGTTATCCGGTAGCCGACAGCCGAAAGTTGGATTTGCGAATACAAGCTAAGGTTCAGGTTGTAATGATTACCTTGTTATTTCTGAAATGTTTGGGTTCGGTCAGATCAGCATTGCCACCCTCAAAGTAGAACTCGGGAGACATTGTAATATGCATGGCGCCCTTCATCACTTCATCAATCTGTTCCCTCGTACAGTTGCTACTAGCAATTTGACCATTTGAATAGTTAGGCTTGGGTCTTAGGTAATGAATGAGCATATACTTCTCTCCCATAATATTGTTTTTGTATAACTAGAAAAAAGAAGTGCATATTCCATACGCCATTTGCAAAGGGTTCTAAATATATGTTGGCTTACGTCTTAGGTATATATTGGAAGTAAATGAGCTTTAACTTCTTCAATGATATTTTTATAACAGATTACGAGATTTTTCGAGAAAAAGCACGTGAATTCCGACTTTTGCTCATTTATATCCGGGCAACTCGCGAGATTTCACCTCCAAACCCAATCAGAAGTTTCAATTTTGAGTGACAATGCATATTCTAAGTCTCTCCCAATATTTTATATACGTTGGAGAAGTAGATCTACCATTACAGGGTTTTTTACCTCACATAGGAATTTAGGTTGAATGGAGCCAGAGAGGACGGTAATAAATATCCTCAGACCACTTTCCTGAAATAATAAAAATATCCTGAAACAATTTTAAAACTTGGGAGAATATGTATAATATTCGTACAGCAGATCACTTTCTTAAAAGAAATTATTATACAGGATATCCCGAAAGTATAGGACCCCCCTCGGCAGATGTATACCAAATGTCTCCATAGTATGTTTCATATATCATTTCAAAGCTTATCCAAAGTTACATTGATTTGCAAATTAACTCAAAAAGTTACAGGTATTTCAAAACTTGGTATTTGGCTAAAATCAAAGTTCAGATCAGTACACTAGAAACAGCTCTGACCTGAATGTGACAGAAAATATGATTGCTATCGTCAAAGATAGGATGGATATTGAGTTGGAAAAAGAGGACAATGATGGCAGATACTCCAAGGAAACTCTTCTAAAATGCCTTAAAAAGGTTTTATGAGGATGACAAAGTGCTACACCCATATTTGGAGCGTGCTTAAAGGTCATATCTGAAAAGAAATGCTGCTGTTAACATGGCCTAGGGAGACACATCGACTATAAATTTGGTCTAAAACTGAACTTAGATTTTGGCCAAACACTAAATTTTGAAATTCCTGTATCTTTTCCCTTTGTTAGTTGAACCATGAAACTTAGCAAATCAATGTAACTTTGGATAAGCTTTAAGATGATGTATGCCACATACTATGGGGACATTGATATGTGTCTGCCTGGAAGGGGGAGGGGGCATACTTTCGGGACACCCTGTATTCTAAAATATTTCCAAAACCAAATATATCCTTCAAATATTCTAAACTAATGATTATAGTTAATACTTCATTTGATGGTACTTCTCTTATAGTTATAGAAATGATGATACCTTTATTGAAGCCCAATCAGTTTCTGCAACCCCATCTCTATCAAATACATCCACCTCTACGCCACTTGCTTCAAGATCATCTTTCAGCCGTTCAATTACCTGAAATATATTAGAGTCTTAAATCAGTGATCTCGGTTTGTGTTTGAGAAATGATTCGTTTGATATTAGTGAGTCGGTTGATATTCAAGTGAGTATAAATAATACACAAACGGACTCATATAATTCTCCGACTGCTTTCTGGTAACTATTTTACTGCAATGAGGATTGGCTCGAAGGGTTCAAACTCGATATTCGACCTTGACCTTGATCAATATAAACATTGAAAATGTGAAAAAATGGCGGGTGTTTGATTTTTAATCTTGTAATCACGCAGGCTTACATGTCTCCATGTGATAATAAGGAGAAGGCCGTGGCACCATATATGGTAGAATATCGAATGTGGAAACCAACCTCTCCTTGATTTCCCAGCAAGGAGGATTGGGTTCCAGTGTTCCATCTAGATATTGATGTCGTGATTATAAAATTCAAAAAACACGCTTAAATCATTCCGCCCACGTTGTTGTAAAAAGCTATGCAAGCTTAACCTCTCTATATTGAGTTCATACATACGCTAAAATCTTTCAGTTCACATAAACGACGCATACCACTTTTCTTCTCATTGCATTATTTACGTAAATCAAGATTATTTATACTTGCATCTGGCCTATCATCGTAGAATAATCCAACATATTTCCAGCCATATCTCTCAACGACCATCCTAATTGTTCTTTCCACTATGAATATATTAGAGAGAACATTTGTCGCAAGCGGGGCTTCTGAGGTCTCGAATGAGGTCACCCAATCTGCAACCTATAAATTCAGATGGGTAAAAAATTAACACCCTTCAACAACTTCAATAGTATCAGCTCTCATATTTAGTCTAATTAGACAAAGCGCCAGCCTATTTTTGTTTTCACTTATTATGTAATTAAGATGAATACTTGAATTTTAAACATGGCTTCAACTGGCAACAGTCAGTATTTTGAAGCACTGAATCAAAAAAGTCTTACTGTGATGCATCCTTTAGCAAGGCAAAACGTCCTGAGATCAGTTGAGACGCTTTTACCATGTAAAATAAAGGGAATAGCTTGTTTTTCGATTTTATTATTGTACGCCACGAAACGATCTATATCTTCGATGCTTGACCTCTCACGGGTCGTCTAAAATACAATAAGAACAGTATATAAAACGCATGTTGACCTACAAACAGAGATGAACTTGAATATGTCGATATTTGCCTATCCCACAATAGTTTCATCGGGCAATCTGGCCAAAGGGCATAGGAGTAAAACGCTCAAACACACCAGAGTTAAAATTCACTGGAATAATGCATTCACACAAACGTACGCACGCACGCACGCACGAACCCACGCACGCTCGCTCGCTCACTCGCACGCACGCACACACACACACACTACTGTCCTAGCAAGTATTTGATACTGTTGAGGGTAATAGTTACATATTGGTCATAAAAATAAATGTTCCCGAAAACGTCTTAAAACGTGTAGTTTTATCACATATCGCCGGTTCTCTTACCCCGCTGGTGTTATAGCAACCATCTACAACGAAATCATAGCCAGGAAGTATGGTTGGGTCAGCGTTGACATCTTCTCCAGCTTGGACTGCGAACCTACATCGCGTGGTCCAGCTTGCAGTTATTGAGTGGATCAGGTTACCAATGAAGATCTTCTCAGCTGTGAAAGAATAATTTTCGTTGTTATATTTACTTTTTCAGAGTCAACCTGTTATTTTCAATTTTTCATCGTGACTTGTTAAACAGAGCAAAACTAAACAGACTTTTTTATAATATATGGGAAAATAAATCAACCCAGAGAACTTAACTAAAAAGGGCAACACTATTGATCATGACATTGCATGTCAAATAGATCACATTATAGAGGCTATACCGTTTAAGCTGAATGTGAATGTGTTTTTTATCATCAACTTCAAAAAAAAGTAAAAATAATTGGTGCGTTTGCGAGAAAGTAAAAATTAAAAGATTTTCATGTTTTTGAAACATTTCAGAAATACTAATAGGTACTAGATACAGTATTATAACTTGTCTAAATGTCATGAATTTGTGTTAATTAGCCCGTCTTTCATGAATATCATCCTCCAAACACAGGCCTCCAGAACTCGTAGGCTACCACCTTCTTTTTGAAGAAGGAAGGGAATTACTGGATGATGTCTGAAGCCCTGCGTTCGGAGGATGATAAATATATGAAATGTATGATTAAACATTTAAAAAACGATGAAGCGAGGCTATTGTGTATGAACTCCCCATCAACTCTCTTACTTCAAGGCTATTCAATGGCATAGCCAGGATTTGGTGACCAGGGGTTCTATTTTTATATTATTCACAAATCTCTCCCCCTACTAAATAGGGTTCTTCACATAAACGCATTTTTGTATTTAATTTACAATCCCTCCAAAAGTTTGGCAGCCCTAACTCCCCTATTGGATTACGTGTTAAACAAGTCTCTTTATGTTTGAATTCGTAAAAACTATTGATTATTAATACCTTTCTTTCCATTCCAAAAAGTATAGGCTTCCAAAGTGATAATTTTTCAAGAAACCTCTCCCGTTGGAATTACACAGGAGGCGAAAAATCATTTTTGAAAATGATTTTGAAGCTCTAAATGTTCACAAAGTAAACCAAACACTTAGTATGCTAAAAGGTTTGACAATTTGATTTTCCATATTTTTTTTAATTTATTTATTTTTTATTTATTGATTTGTATAAAACTATTTTTTGGTGAATCCTTTTTCTGAACAAATATACTGAAATCTCATTTGCCCTTCATCTCAGACAAAATAAATCACCCCATAATGTTTGTTATGTTATGTTATGTTATGTTATGTTATGTTATGTTACACTCCCCTCCATAAGTTTGGCAACCTTAGCTCCCCCATTGAACTACGTGTTAACGCCTCTTTACGTTGAATTTTTATTTACTTTCTCTGCAAGGAAATCACGTATAATATTGATGGAAACGTAACTTGATTTCATTTCCAATACCTCAAAATTTTCTCAATTTTTTCTCAATTACAATAGGTCGAAAATTGATGATAAATTTGATGAATTTTTGAAAATCGTCATTCACATGTAAACCAATGGGAAATGGTGGGTTCGGGGCAAATCAAAAGTCAGGATATCTATTCAGTAAAAGATTCAGCAAAAAATATTTTCATATAGAAAATTGTCTCACTTTTTAGTACACTAAGAGTTTAGTTTACTTGACGAATACTAAAGTTACAGAGCTTCAAAGTCATTTTTGAAAATCATTTTTTCGCCTCCTGTGTTATTTAAAAGGGAGAGGTTTTTTGAAAAACAATTTTAACTTTAAAGACTTATAACTTCGTTGAACCTGAAGAAACGTATCAATTTCTGTTAAATAAAGTTAGCAAATTCAATTACCTACCTAACTTGTATTTTTTGCAAGGACTCGGATGGATGGATATTCTGTCATATGACTTGCGGCAAACTTACCATTTCCCATTGGTTAACATGGGCATGTCGATTTTCAAAAATTCATCAATTTATCATCAATTTTCGACCTATTGTAATTGAGGAAAAAATTGAGAAAAGTTTGAGGTATTGAAAATGAAGTCAAGCTACATTTCCATCAATAATATAAGTATTTTCATCGCAGGTTAAGTATTAAAAATTCAAACGTAAAGAGGCTTTAACACATAGTTCAATGAGGGAGCTAAAGTTGCCAAACTTATGGAGGGGAGTGTATGTCAGGTTAGGTTATGTGTTGTTATGCTATATTTCTTTATTTCCTCCGTTTAATCGGAGTGCAAAACAATTAATACATGTATGTCACATTACAAAACATATATTACAGAAGAGTAAGGAGGTTGATAATATTTACATATTTACAAATCAGAGGACTCTCAATACTGGTACATTTTAATTAAATAATAATAATATTAGAATAAAATGGCGCACTGACGTCCTATACTCCAAAATATAGTTTTTTCTATTTAAATTTTTTACAACGTTTACACGTATAGTAGTCTTTTTAAATATTCGGGATAGTTTTATTACTTATGAAAATATCTGTTATTTCAAAGGAGGAGGGAAATTAGCGCAACAGATTTTGCACATTCATATGTTGGATTTTGGCCATTTTCTGAGGATTTAAACAATTGCATATGTTAGGCCAATGCATTACCTCCAGGAAAATCACTTCTAGAGATGATAAAATAATTTCGACTTTGAGACAGGGTAGATGCAAACAACCCACCCACATGTATTTTCTGAAATGTTTTCCTAATTTTCGACCCCTTCCATCCCTGCTTTTTTAATTTTTCTTGCATCAATATGTTGCATTTTGACATATAGTTAACCACTTTAAAGGAATAAGTGATTCCTTCAGGGGCTTTAAAGATACCCATTATGGGTGACCAAACTTAGCTGAAAGCAATGATTTTTCCTATGGGAAAATAACATGGGAAATATTGTTTTCCACTTTACCTAAGAGGAATCATTTATTCCTTTTAAGGGATTAACTGTGTGTCAAAACACAACATATTGATGCAAGAAAAATTAAAAAAGCAGGGATGGAAGGGGTTGAAAATCAGAAAAACATTTCACAAAAAACATGTGGGTGGGTTGTTTGCATCTACCCTGTCTCAAAGTCGAAATTATTTAATCATCTCTAGAAGAAATTTTCCTGAAGTTAATGCATTCGCCTAACTTATGCACCTGTTTAAATCCCCAGGAAATGGCCAAAATCAAACATATGACTGTCCAAAATCTATTGCGCTAACTTCCCTCCTCCTTTGTGCGTCTCGATATTATGTTTTGTTCCAAAAAAGTACAAACTATTTCTTGGGAAGTCCCTGGAGCAGGTAAATCCCAATAATTGCATGAGATCATAACGTTTTGTTATGGGTTACTAAAACATATAGAAAAATACAAGCGGCTGTTCTTATATGAAACGTATTTTGTTCAGATGTCTTGAGTAACAAATTAGCCCTAAATTTTTAATTATCTTGATCTGTATTTTTTCCAACTATGAAAATAAAATAAACTCAATCGAAATGTCATTTGCTTTCCTCAGCAAATGATGACTGCACCGGTCTTCTTTGTGAGACAGAACTCTCTTAGACAAAAACGATCGTTTGGAGTATAGAACGTCTTCCATTGCACCAGAACTGGCTTAAAACAAAATTCCTACAACATATTTATTCATTTCAAAATCTAAAATGTCATGCATGCTCCGGGGTCTTCCCAAAACAACACGACCCCACCCCATGCGTAAAGTTGCCAAACCTTTGGAGAGAAGTGTAAATTTACTATGATATGTTTTGTTTAACAAAATGGGGCTCTAGTGTTCACAATACACTGTGCAAAAAGCCAAATATAGTAAGGTATAAGTGGCAAACTATTTGTGAATATAGTTCAGTATGTCCTCACTATATTGTATTCGGTATGGGAAACAAACTATTCTTGCCTCAGAAGCGGAACATTTAGTATTGGTGGTATATACTCTACGATACTTAATATCGTTTGAACTATTCTCCGATTATTCTTAAGAGCCAGGAATAGTAGGATATAAGTACATAGAAAAGATGAGTATAGTATGTATTACGTAATCCAAAAACAAACTATACGCCTCTTATACGCGAGGCTATATATTCTTTGATGTGCCTTAATTTGCTTGGAGTTAATCCTATTTTATTTTTCAATTAAGCGCTAATGTAAACAAATAAAATCATGCATTCCACTAAGAAAGCTAAATTTAAACTTAATGTCTGAGATCTCATTTAAAATTTTATGATGTTGAAGTATATTATTTTAAATGAACTTTAAATGCATTTTAAAATGTAAGTCAATACAAAAGGTGGAATGAAAAATTTGGGTATATTTCAAATATAAATCGGTAAATTATTTATTCTCCGTTTTGAGTAAAATAAGCGCATATTAATTTGAAGTTTGTTTTTAGTCTTACCCAAAATCAGCAGCAATTTCGGTGTAGTTAAAATTAAAATGAGGTAAAGCGTATCGTGATATCTTTGTTCTTTGTCAGTTTTAAATTGAGACAATCCTGACTTTCCTATGACAAATTAGACCCTTAGTAAGGGAGGGTGTTCGGAGGTTTAGAGTGAAGCCATCTGGAGGAAAATTAATTGTTGTATAATTATGTGGCAGAAGTTGATGATGATGATGATGCATTTTTAAATTTTAAAAAGAAAACAATATTCAAATGTATGAAATACAATAAGCAATCGGTATAAAATCCCCGGAATTGAACATTATGAAGGATGAGGGATTGCGCTGAACAAAAACTTATTTTTGTATGCAAATCATTAGGTTACATGTACAATCTATAACACATATAATAATGCGCCAACTTGAGCTTTTTAATATATTGATGAAGTTTGAGCACATCACATACTATGTCCAAAATTGAAACATACTCTTATGAGCCAAGTTCAACCTTTCAATGTAAGGATTTACTTTGAACATCATAAATAATGCGCCAAATTGAACTACACTAATGCGCCAAATTGAGCTTTTTAATATATTGATGAAGTTTGAGCACATCACATACTATGTCCAAAATTGAAACATACTCGCATGAGCCAAGTTCAACCTTTCAATGTAAGGATTTACTTTCAACATCATAAATAATGCGCCAAATTGAACTACACTAATGCGCCAAATTGAGCTTTTTAATAT